GGTATCAAAATACGCAAATTGCATTTCTCCATCAGTTGCAATTCCCTGTCTACCATAGTAATCTGAGACATTAAATATGAGGGATCAATACCGTCCAATTCACAGTATTGTATGCACTAGGGGGTAATGCTCGTAGTTGCACTAATGCTAGGGAAAAGATCATCATCCTAGTAATGGCGTAACATAAAAAGAAACCGCCAAGCAGATAATTGTTGAGAGGTATGAATTGATGGAGCAATGGTTCAAGGACAGTTTTCTGCCCTTTATGATCTACCCCCAGGAGTACGAGGGAAAGCAGAGGAAGAAACGTCATCGTCCCCGCAGACACGCGCCAAAGGATTTGTTCCTTGTGCGTAGGGAACACGTAATTCCACGGAATGCAATGCATACCACCGAAGAAAATGAATACCGTGGAGAATGCAGCATATAACCAAGTAGGATAGTTTTCCATTCCTGTATAGTAATAATCTTTGCTGTTTAGAAGAAGGGAACCCTGAGTCCTCAGTAAGAGGGTTATGAACACAAGAGTAACCATCAGTAGAACACAAGGAACCGAGGCAAGAGCTATACAGCCAAGGAGAAAGATTCCACAGCCGAGAAAGACGCCGATATAATGTCGAGCAATCAACAAAAAAGGGAAACAGATGACTTGAATTGGCTGACGAACGTGCCGCATCCTCGTGGAACCAGTTTGTGTTTTCCACTCAGAATTCATCCATTGCATAACGCGCTTGGTAGATTTGTAAAGATTCACCAAGGCATGCAATGAGAATGACTTGAGATAAAACCCAAAGAGGCCGATAGTTAAAGTAGTCGTGGTGAAGGGATAGAAGATGACCAGCCACCACGTCCTTGTCCACAACAACTCCCAGTTCCATATGAGCCAGTGGACAATGATTTCAACAAAGGTTCCGGAAGAGACTCGCCTGAAATAGGCTCTGAAATGCGCTCTGATACTGGACGACGGAGTGATTTCTGCTGGGAATCCACGACCTTGGTGGTAGCTGATTTTCACTGGGTAACGAACGCCTTGTGGCTTTTTCAACCACAAACAATATGCTCCAACGTTCACCAAAGCGAACGCCAGGGTGTAGATTTCCATTTCTGTCAATGCTAACCCCTCTATGCCACGTGCAATACACTGGACAATGAACCAAAGTGTTTGACCAATCGCAAAAACTTTTGAGATGATATCACGTTTGCTTCTGGCCATTATTTCGTCTTCAGTGATTGTGATAAATTTGCACTGGATGAGGAACTCCAATAAACATTTAGATTTGGTGGGCGTAAATTCGGTGGGCGTGGACTCGAATTCGGCGGGCTTTTTTCCGGTTACCCGAAGGATGAGGTCAGGCTGAGAAAACCCGGCAGCCTGTAGAGATCATAAAATTGGTGTATGTTAACATATGTCATTGGATATCGGGCACAGTCTAGGGTCATTACATACCTTTCCAGAAGAGGAACTTGAAGGAGTTTTTTTATTTCTTTCCTTCAACTCTGCCTGCGTTTTATTAGTATCTGTGCTGAGACCTTCAACGAATTCCATATGTCATCACCTCTTCGAAAACGTATTCGAATCTCAACTCTTTTGCGATTTCCTCAGCAACTTTCTTTTCTTCCTCGCTGAACGTATCACGGTCACGGAGTAGGAACTTTCCTGTGTCATCTTCGAAAATTTGAAAGCCTCCCATGACGAGGAAGTGGCCATGTGCCATTTTCCAACCATACCCTGGGGAAGCAATGAGTACAACTCAAATTGTCCAGCGAAAATGCCACCGACTTGCCTTTATATTTCTTTTGAATAATCCATGCTGAATAGCACTGTCTCATAGCCCACAGTATGATAAGCTCTGGTGATGAAATTGTCAAGACCATAAAAACAATGCTGTGAACTTTTACTGAACACCCAGATGTATGGAATGAATCCTTGACCTGAGTGGGTTCGGTAGGGAACCATTTCATAGGGTTCCAACTTCTAGGAAGCGTTCCGAAATCCTTTGGAATATTCTGGTGAACTGAGGACCAAGTGCAAGCAAAAATCACAGCCAGACAGCTGTAGAGTATCTGCTCTACAGTTCTACAAGACCGGATATCACCACAATGATCCAGGATTTCTAGCGAGTCGTCAATGGTAACAGAATGATTCGAATACGAGGCATTCGGTAGTTGTGGAAGAGGGTGTGCTAGAGCATATAAGAGTAGCATGGGAAAGACAGGAAATTTAGTAGGGCACAGAGTCATATATATCTGCCCCATGAGGTTTTGACCTGTGTGAGAGTGTGTGGAGAGCATCGAGTAGCGTGGCCCACAGATCCGATGCTTCATAGAGTGGTGAAGTTGATATCACCAACATGTGATAGTTTCGTACCAGAATTAGAGACTTTTCTTATTCACTAACCCATTCCATGAGGCTGTGATTAGCGATCTATGGGTTCGATAGCAAATCTTGATATCATAACCGGCTTTTGTAAGGACTGAAACGTCGACCCTGACTGAATAAAGAAGATGGGTTAGATAAAAACTCTGGCAAATCATGCATGCTGAAGGTGGGAGTGGGAGATCAAAAACGTGAAATGGGCTAAAGGGATGAATTCAGACCCAATCGGCTCTGATCAAGCAAAAGCATTGTTACCGGTGTGTTTTTCATACCTGTAACTTGAAGAATGAAATAGGTATTCACTATTCCCGGCAGCCCGGCTGCTCCGATGGGAGGTTAACGCACCACAGCCGCCTTCAAGCATCATACAGGCGGTAAAAACTTTTGTTTTGCTATTCACATAAGCGCGCATTTTCATTAATGCACTTCAGTTTACCGAAGCTTATCTGATGGAAATCTCCAGCATTCGACCTGTATCTCCGCAAGCTGAACAAAATGGAACTGAGAAGGTCAGAAAAATTCTTCTGAGGTGTTTTCCGAGGTGAAACTGTCCACTCATAGGAAAGCTAACAGGGGTTACAGCTACTTGCAAAATTATAGACGCAAAACCGGTGCAACACACTTAGAGATCTTTGTTTGCAATTCATGTAAGCTAACCATTTCCGGAAATGCCACCAGCGCAGCGACCAGTGGAGTCGATGAAGACCTGTTAAAAGTGGAAAGTGCTGATCACGGCCTTTCTGAAAAAGGCTAGCCTTATGCCACGGAAACCGAAGCAAAAATAAATCGCGGAACTTTGCCCTGTTTTTAGCATCCACGCGGAACTTTATGTCATTTTTTGATCCGGCCGCACACTTGCAGCGTGACGTGTGACTGGGCTGATTTCGCAACTTTGTCTTTCATCGCAAACTTATTTTTAGTCACAAAAATTCTGTGCTTTGTGCCAATATAGAAATTCTAAATTGTTATTATTATTATACACATCTATGTCGAAATTCAGGCATATGGACAGTTGATCTGGTAAACTCTTCCTCCCCCATTGCTGTTCCAGGTGCTGAGTTTACCACATTAATATGGGCTATACATGTAAAAATGAATCATAAGAAATGAATAAGAAATACATTCTCAAATGACTTCCATTTTGAAAAGTATGGAACACCTATTAGATGGAATAAGTCAGCTAGAAGTAAGTTTCATCAGACTGCATGTTTGCAATGGAAAATTCAGACATTTTTATTTAATGAGAAATGATTTTATATTGAAATGGACTTAAAGGAGCATGGTTTGAATGTCAAAAAGATTTGGACTCCTCAGTTCAAACTTGAATTATTTGTTCCATTATCTATAGAGCATCAGTGTGTCATCCTTCCAAATTTTGACACATTATACAAATTATATATATTACCCTGAAGGAAATGTCTTTCCACTCAGAATAATAAATCATATCTACAAACTACTCCAGGATATCTACAGGTGTATACAATCCTGCATAATAATGTTAAGATAAATAAGCATTTGCAATTTTCAATTATAATTACAAGGGGGAGATGGGACATCCACTGAACACTCCAGCTATGATCAATGTGGTAGGCAAACCATAAATAAAGAAATAGTGATTTATTTGTCTGATTTTCCCAGTAGCTAAATGAATGATCAACAAGTAATATGAGTATATGTGGTTCAGAAGTATACATTTATAGAATATGTTTTATCATAGCTTACTTGTTGAAGTAATTTGAATATATGAAGTATGTTTTCAAAATTTTGCCTGCATTTTTTGTCATTGAGAGAATGATAAAGTATTTACTCTCTAATTACAACAAAGCTGGATGCTGTCAGTGATTGGTATATGATACATGCATATATAGTAATTAAATTGGTAACTATACACTTACAAGACACAAATTTTTGTGACCAAAAGTAAGTTTGCGATGAAAGACAAAGTTGCGAAATTAGCCCAGTCACACGTCACGCTGCAAGTGCGACTGCATCAAAAAATGACATAAAGTTCCGCGCGGATGCTAAAAATAGGGCAAAGTTCCGCGATTTATTTTTGCTTCGGTTTCCGTGGCATATAGCCTAGTCCTACACTCATAACTACAAACACAGATCTCAAAGTATTTCGAGGCTGTTTTGTGTCGAGAATTTTGCAAGTAGCTGTATATAACGGTAAACATTTTTTGCAATCCGAATAGAATTTAGGTTAAGGAGTACGTATCCCTGCAGAGACATGTTCATAGAACAAAAATTGACAAAAATCTCAGTATAGAAATTGGTGACCAAGTTGAAAATTATGACATTTCCGGAATTATATATTTTGGTCAGGGGCACTTTACAACGAGGATGTTTCATGCAGGTAGTTAATGGTTCTACGATGGTGTCGTGAATTCTACACCACAATCTTGTAGCTCTATGTCCATGCACGATTTAGGTCATTTTATGTGCAAAAATGCTAGCATTATTCTCTGTGAAAACCAACTAAATGAGTACTCTTAAATTTGATAATTCGAAATACTGGCCTCATACCTGCCACGCGTAGCGATGGCCCACTTCTATTTCATGGAGTGTCATAACCCATTACCATACTGTGCACTTGTCACTACACACTTGGTTGTACACCAACAGACTAATAGCTCAGTGGTTCAAAGTGAGGTCACTAGTTATGCCTAGGTCCTTCAACCCCCAGTTGGTCCAAGTCATAGTATTTATCCTGAGATCTACTCACTTGATTCTCATTGTTACCTTACATATTATACACACATCCATATACTTAAACAGCCTGTATGTAGAAGTAGTTCTCCAGCTCTTATATACTCTTCCATCTGTATTACATATTATACTTCATGACTTGTGTAGTTATCATCAAAACCACTGTCTTTATGACAGACTCTCATGTGTTTTGCAAGCAGATAGGATTACAGCATCCAAATAAAAGAAGTGGGCCACCACTGTGCGTGGCAGGTACAAGGCCACAATTTGGTAGTCAAACGCCGATGATTATATTGCATGGCACATGTTGTTGGCAATGGTGATAAGATGGATTCTGTGATTGTGATATGCAAGAATAACATTACCAAATGGGTTTACACACGACCGGCTAAGAGACTGGGGTTAGCAAAGACAAGTCCTCATAAAACGGCCTCGTAATTTCTCGAGACATTTGAATACAAAGCACAAAACCTCCGAAGGCCTTGTTCTTACTTGTGCTAGAGTCACTGGATGTGGCTATGTCAGAACAACTCCAAACCCATTTGGAAAATTGCTTGACTCAGCCGGGTAACTTGAGTACTGGTTTGGTGATGTTTAATCTAAAAGCTATGGACTTTTTATTCAGCCCGAGAACAAAATATACAACAACGTCGACATATTCCGGCCTCGTTTTCGCCATGCCGAAGGCAATGGCCCATATCTTTTATTGTTCTGAAAGCATCTTTTTGGCTGAAACCTATTCTTTTCTTCTCCACAAATCAATCCTATATCAGATAATGATAAAGATTTGTGATAGAAAAGGTAGTGATCTAAGCTTCAAAAAGAACATATTTGTAGAAGTGTACAATAAAACACTACACTTTCAATTGAACTATCATGAACAGCAATCTTATCCCTGTCTTCAGAATCTGATAATTTGCAGCTGATAAAAGTACCAGGTGCTGGTTCTCAAAATTAAATTTTAATTCAGCAAGCATATTTTATGCAAAAAGTTCCTTTGGCTTTGTAAAAATATATTTTAATACAGTTTCAGATAATTATCTCTGTTCTGTGCATTATTGGAAAAAATGGGTTACTAGGATTACAGGGGCATCTTCCTCATTGAACTCAACATCCTTTGCCAACTGAGCAAAACTGAGCTATTGGAACACTAACTTGAATGTGTATTCACATGTATTTCACAAATAGTAACAAATAGAATTACAATATCCAATACTAGCAAATTAACGCAGCAAAATCCCTAGAAATACTCCATAAATCAAAAATATACAGCTTGAAGATCTACCTGTAAATATAATTATGATTTTTCTTTTGCAAATACTTTCTCAATTTGTTATGATTTATCCATATTTTTAGATCTAGTAAAGTGCGGACACATGAGACAAATGTACCCATCATCCTAGACATTGAAGACATTAATGTACATTTTATTTTACGTAGCTTTGAAAACATCAATATATTCCAGAGCTTTTTTGCTAGATATTGAGCCCTAAAGGCAGCTCCAATGGATTATTAATTCACAACCATTCCAATAAGTTATTGTAAAAGTATTATAGCATCAGCAGCCCAATAGCAACTCCGATTTTGGATATCTGTATGATAAAATTTAATACTTATGTCTACTGTGACCTTTACCCCAAGTTGCTGTTTGTTACCTTTATTTTAAGTATGTAGATACTGTATACACATGTTGCAAGGTTTTATTCCTATAGAGTGGCACCTAACTTGAGGATCTGGAAGAGGAGATAGCAAAATACTGGCTCTCAAGAGTCTACTTTTCCAAATCTTGAGCAAAAATTAAATGCTACTTTGAAATTGCACCCCATACATTGATGGTAGTAGGGATTGGGTTCTGGGGAGTGAAAGGTTGATTTGATTGTCGAGCTTGGTCTTAGATGAGCGTCCAATACACTATATGTATTCCTTCAAACATTCCACCGACACGAGTCAAGACTTCAACCCAGTCATGGATAACAGCGGCGTACAATCGTGACAGCGGCTCAGATATCCACTGATAGTGAACAGGGACCTGAATGGCCGCTAAGGACATAAAATCCAAAGGCACCCGGACTAGTCCTTAGCTGATCCCCCAACAGAAATACAAGTTTACAAATTAGTCATCTATCTAGAAAGGCCATTAGCAAGTTAGTGATTATCGAAGGGATCTATTTAAACGAGTACATACGATATTGATAAATTAAGAATAGAATATGGATAGTCTCAAACTGCCGGTGAACATCATTCTGATGCTACTTTAATGTCACCCCATCAAAATGAAGAACGTCTTCGATACTTCGTAGGCGGTAATCGGCTTAGCTAATTAATAGATCGTAGGAGGTCGCCTACATTTGCTTTCTAAACAGAAAGACACAATCCCGAAATTTTCTCAGCAGAAGAGTTCTTCAGGCATGAATGAATGCAAGTAAACGCCCGAGCACAGGAACAAATCTTATTTGACAGATGCGAATACGTAGCTGGAAGCGATTAACGCTAACTTGAATACAAAAGGCCGCCACTGTATTCACATAAATACGACAGTATTTGAGGCACTGCAGGACTCGAATCCTAACCCGTCGACAGCTTGGGCACCACTCCGTTATACTCAGATATTGAGGTAATTATCATCTATTAGCAACTGTAGTAATTTTTTTTTGAAAATACTTATAGTATGACTGAAAGGCCCACCACACTATTCTTGTACGGTGACGATGTCTTTGGATTTCCAGCTGCCACAAACCCAGCATCGGTAACGCCAATTGGTACAGCTGAAGACGGAAGTCAGACAACCCTTCAGTATGCCTTTGTTGAAAGCGACGCAATTCAGACGAATGGACCTGTCGTGACGAGGACCGACACTGGTGTGTAGATGGTGTATTGTTTCCCTTTCACTGACCTTACACATATTTCCGAATACAGCTATTGTTGTAGTATCCTCTGGTGGATTTAGGGAAGTACAGAGCGCCCTTGATTTGGTTACAGGTACAAATATCTGGCCAGGATGGACACAAGTCTATGATTGCGTTGCCACGGACGGGAATGAAGGCAGATGTTTGATATCTGGGAATGGCGCTCAACCAGCCGTTGCGACGGGAACTGGTATTCCGTGGGTATTGTTTGTTACTGAATCCAGTTCCTCCAGTACCTCCGGTACTTTGTGAGTATCAAATCCAGTAGAACTTTGAATTTGCCTATCGAATTAATAATCTTAAAGATCCCAAACCACGCCTTCAGAGTCTACCCCGTCTTCTTCTCCAAGTTCTTCCCAGAGTTTTTCCCATTCGAAAGGGTGCCCAAGTTACTCCTTTGTTCTCGGATAAATCTAACAGGAGCTTCCAGATTCTTTTCCAACAAGTCTGCTGTCATCGGGACGTTCGTGTCCATAGGGGTTGCACTTGTTGCCATCCTGTTACTTTTGATGCTCAGACTGTCAAGACGAAGGCGTAGACCTATGACTGATGACTTGGACACCGGTAAACAACCAAAACTTCGAACTGTATCTGGATGGACGCCATCAGTGCCAGATGTCAATCAAGTTGAAACAGCAAGGAACAGCCTGAACCCTCATCAAATAATATCTGAAAAGATACCCGAGGTGTATAATAATGAAAAGAAAAACCCTGTCTTTTTATCCGTTGATAACAGCATTCCTTTGGCATCCTCGTCCCAACCGGGATTTATGTCTACTCCACGCCAAGTCCTGTTAAAGGAACAAGCGGACGACTTGCGAGCACAGATTCAGGAATTGCAACGTACGGTAAACACTTCCAATCAAGGGATGCAGCTTGCTATAGCGAGGATGATGGCCCATCTACAATCTTTGGAAAGTCAGTCGAATTCGGATTGGGCAATGGGTTTGACGGATAAGCCTCCGCCAGGTTACGAGGCTGGCTGAGATGGTTTAGCTGTATTTGACGATGTTACTACTTTACGAATTACGATGAGGAATGAATCCTAGTGACGAGTTCAAATTTTGCAGTCTCTTGCGTTTTAGTAAAACGCTGGTCAGCCTCTTATATGGATAGGACTTCAAAGGATATGAATCAGTCAGCATGACTGAAGATACAATATACAATCCGATGGTGACTAAGTAGTTTACAAATAAGACTTTCGGTAACTTCAAGCATTCTTCTCCATCTCTTCAGTCGGGAACTTCAAGAACAAGTCCTTTAACTTGTCAATTGGAAGTGCCATAAATCCTGCAAGAGTTTCATACGGTGGTTTATTCGGAAAAGACGGATGAGCACTGTCATGATGTAAGAATAATCAGTCACTCGTAACTGGAAAATAATATTGGACTTACTGCGTGGGTGCAAATTTCTTCGTCCTACTAAAACTCTGAGCAGCCACCTTACTCGCCTCAGTCCCAAGCTGTGGCTCCAATCGAGGAAGGTCCTCCCTCTCCTCACTGTCATTGTGTTCATGAAGATGATCCATGACTGTCTTGAGCGTCGAATTAAACTCTGTTGTTCCAGTGGTCATCCCTTCGAGGAGAGAAAGCTTTTCTTTTACAAACTTTGAGTGAAATAAGTTTATCTTGTCTGAGAAAAGACTCGATGGTTAAAAATAAACATACCTGATGCTCCTCCCTATCTTTATCCGCCAAATCGATCCCCTTCTGACCAAGATGCTTCTCCATCAAAGGGTAAACTACAATCTCCTCCCCGACTGCATGTCGAGCAATTTCCCAAAACAATTGATTCGACCAACGGGTTTGTGCGTCCTGGTTTCCAGCGGCTTTTACATATTGCTCATAGTATTCATACATCTGCGATGGTGTCAATAGCCCAATTGAAAAACGAAAAGAACAAAGTACCTCTTCATGATCCTCCTTAATCGCAGCAGTCAATGAAGCCATGGTTCTTGTACTGATTGGAAGACGTTGAATCGGATTAAAAAAAGTTGTGTTTGCTTTGAAAAGATGGGAGCTAGCTCTTAGAGGAGTCGAGTAAAGACGAATCAGCATTATACCTTTCGACCTAGCCCAT